TTCATCATTTATATAAATATAAATAAGAAATTTTCTAAAGATCCATTTATTTTGACACACAAAATAAATATAACAATATCATTCATGGATTTTCAGTCTCTTAAAAAAAAATCTCCAAATTTCAGGTTTTCTCACCAAAACTATACAACTCAAACCTTTTGAAAGAAAACTTTCCAAAATCATCTTTTCTTCAATCAACGAAGATCAAAACCCATAAGATCATTTTAAAAGAATAAGAAACAAACCCACTTTCAAAATCGCTCAACTTCTTGAATCAACAATCAATTTTCAAAGCTATTGAAAGATGATTTTGAAAATCATATAGATCTTGCAAAAACATATATATAACTCTAAGAAAACCCCTACCTTAAGTTTTCAAGAAGAAATGAGATGAAACCCTCAAAATCAATGGTGTCGAAACTCGATCTTCACCGCACACAACGAAGCCCTCGAGATGATAACCAACTTTGGTAAAGAACTTAGGTCTAAATCCCAATGGATTTAGGGAAATCAAAGAGAGAAGATGACTTCTAAAGAGAGAAGCTCCCGATCTGGAACTCTGGAGAGATTTAGAGAGAGAGAGAAGACTGAAAAAGTGATCTGAAATATCAGATTCACGAGCTGATATAACATGATCCGCTCGAGCGTGGAATGCCCCGCTCGAGCGTCAAATACACTAACCCAGTACTTTTGCAGACAGGTCAAACTTCTGAAATCAAACATTCTCCGCTCGAGCGCATAAACGGCTACTCAAGCGGACAAGCAACTTCGAATGCATTTTGAATTTTTGCTTTGGGACGCTGCCCCTCGACCCCCGCCAAGGTGTTGCTCTCGGACTCGCCAAGGGGCGCTGCCCCCTGGACCTCCGCGAGCTGACCGGGCAGCTCGATCCCTAACTGGTCTAGTCGAAGTGGCAAAATATGAAAAAAGGATCGAAAACAGGATCGCTACAGAAAATGTATTCAACTATTTCAAAATTTAAATTTGTGTGCTACTATATATGGAAGCAATTTCCTAAAATCTAATTATTTTTTATTTTTAAAAAAGTCTATATTAGTTAACTCTAATTTAACCATAACAATTAAATTCTTATTATTCCATAAATTACGACTTCTAAAAGGAAAGTATGCTCAATTATTTTAAAATTTAAATTTGTGTGCCACTAATAGGGAAGCAATTCATTAAAATCTAATTATAATCATAAAAAAACTCTAATTATTCCATAGTTTATGATTTTTAAATATATATATATATGTTTTCTATTTCAAGATTTAAAATTATGTGTCATTAAATATGATTAACAATTCAACATAATCTAAAATTTATAAAAACCTTTCAAATGGTCATGTTATCCATGCTATAACTAATATAGAAATCTTTTTCAAAATTTAAAATAATGCTCCTTTCAAAATTAATATAGTAATCTTTTAAAATTACATTTTATTTATTTATTTCCAAGCTTTTAAAATTACATTTTATTTATTTATTTCCAAACTCACATACTAAGTTTCTTGATTAATTTTTATTTATTATTCAAAAAAAAAATTTAAAAATCTATTGGCTAACACTTTCTCAACAATAAAAATATAGCTATCTAATGATTCGTGAAATTTGACAGGAAAGTATATTAACTTATTTCAATATTCAAAAATGTGCCATATAACTATTTAAAAAAAAAAAAAAATCTAATTTTCTCATAATTTATGACTTTTAAAAAGAAAGAAGACTAAAATCAATTTTAAAAATTTTAAATTGTGTATCACAAATCATGAGAAGAAATTTACATCTCCCATAAATCTTCTCTCTTGCACTTATTGGATTCGAGTCAAATTAGAGGCGGTGTTCATCAAGTGTTGTAACTGTTAGTGATGGAGTAATTATAAAGAATTCAATTGATAAATTTTTTCATTGTAAATTTATGCTTTTTTATAAAGATCAATTTATAATCTTTAGCCCCGCATATCCTTATTTCTATTATACATCTAACAATTATGTTAATTTCTAAAAATTTATTGCATGCTTATTTAATCTAAGTGTATTTTATAAAATAAATCTCCAATCTCTTCGGTCGAGATTCAATTTAAAATCTATATTTATCAAGTACATAAATATAGATGACAGAGGCTACTGAGAAAATGTGCATATTTATTAACAAATTTTCATTGTAAGTTTCTTCTTCTTTTGGATGATGCATATGGTTATAATATGGAAAATGATTTTCCCCATGAAATTTTCTTCCCTGAATTCCCCAACTGCCCAAAACGACGTCGTTTTGGGCAGTTTCCTCTTTTTTTTTTCTTCTTTTTTTCTTCCCTCCTTTATGTCTGAAACGCAGAGAGGAAGAGGAAGAGAAAGAGGGAGAGGGAGAGAAAGAGAGAAAGAGAGAATTGAGAAAGAGAGAGAGAGGGTCAAGGCTGTTGCCGATCGAGGGTCAAGGCCGGCCGATCGAGGGTCGAGGCCGTCGCCGATCGCCACCGCCTCCGCCTCCGCCTCCAGCCCGATTTTTTTTTTGGATCTGAAATGGTTGATGATGTTGATGATGAAGATGAATGGTTGATGCGCAGCCCGATTTTGTTTTGTTTTTGTTTTTTTTGATCTGAAAAGGTTGATAGTTGATGCCCAGTCCGATTTTCTTCTTCTTCTTCTTCTTCTTCTTCTTCTTCTTCCTTCTCTTATTTTTCTTCTTCTTCCTTCTTCTTTTTTGATTTTCTTCTTCTGAAAAAAAATAAAAATAAATCAAAACGACGAAACGACGTCATTTTGATTTCGGAAGGATTCGGGGAAAGGCAGATTCGAGCTGCATAGCATTACTAGTTATAATATTACTTATGCATTTATGTTTTATAATTTCCATGGTTTCATATTTCAAAATTTTTAAAAGGTTTGCTTTAATTTTTAGATTTTATAGTTGGTGCACTTTTTATTATATAATATTTCAAAATTTCTATAATATTTTTTTAATTTTCAGATTTTATAATTGGTGCATTTTTTCTTGAATAATGTTATACTTATTATATTTTATTGTGTGACTAAGTTTATTTGGTTGTAATTTTAAATTATAATTTATTTGATATTTTTATAGGTTATTTGGCTAAAAAATAGAGGTTTTTTAAACTACAATTTGTAACTTTTTTTTTTTTTTAAACTTATTTGAAATCCTTAAATACATATGAACATAAGAATCTCATATCTTTCGTCTTAGTAATAACTTTGAGGGATTATGTATATTTACACAATAAAAATGTTATATAGATTATCAAAAATTACATTGCACCAAATAAATTTACAACTTATTTTAAGTTAATAATTTAAAATTTTACTTATAATTTATAACCATTTTATAGGTCATGCCAAACATTAAACAAAATTTAAAAAATACAAGGTGCATTTAGATTAGTACCTAAGTTACATAAGCTTAACAATAACCGTGAACATGGTGCGCTAACATGTGGATAGTTTTTCTAAATAAATATTTGCCAAAATTTTGTTTAAAAAATAGGTTGATGATTAGATTTAAAGCATATTTGATAAAACTTAATTATTGATTTTGTAATGCTAAAAGTTTTAATAAAATATAAAAATTTTAAATTACATAAATTTATTCAGAAATTTTAAATGTGAAAAGTGCTTGGAGTATTTGAAAATAAAAAATTTATTCATAAATATTAAATTTTCAAATGCTAGAAGAACTATTTGATTAAGTATAGAATTTTTTTAATAAAAATGGTTTATTAATAAAGTTATTTTATACATATTTATAATGTATCATGTTTATTTTTTTTTTAAAGTTTGTGATTAACTCTTAAAAATTTATAAAATACATATTTGAAATGTGGATTATGCATAAATTTATTAACAAATGAGGAAAAAAAATTATAAATTCCCATATAGTACATGCATTACCTTTTATTTGAACCATGCTAATTATAAGCCAAGTAGTCATTTTGGCTTAAGTTGCCTACTGAATAAATATTGAGATTTATGTACTAGCCATTAAAATGGTCTAACACATTTTCAATCAAATATGCATTGAAAAAAATTTAGGCCTATGGGCTAGAGTTAAATTGTTTTATATACATATTCAGTTTAATTTATTTGTTTAGTATATTAGTTCTAAGTTTTTTTTAATATAAAACAATTCAAAAATATAAAAATAAAAAATGATCTATATGGAGTTCAAATTAAGGAAATGGCTATAGGGTTTGCAAAATGTTCAATTAGTCTAACCTCTAAAATATTAGCAAATATAATTAATTAATATTTAATGAGACCGTTTCAGAGGTTATACCAGATCGAAATCATCGAAATCTTATTTGAAGAGTGGGTTGAAGATTGGGGTTACTGATATTCTATTTTTTTTTCTATTTTTTATTTATTCTTCAATTTTGATTTATTGATAAGATAATTAATTTTACATAATAGATATGAGATAATTGGTAAATTAAAAAACCAAAATTACGAAATTTATTGAAACGAAATATATTTATATTTTATCGTAAATATAATTATTATATAAAAACTAATTAATGTTAAATAAATTTTTAATTATTTATTTTAATCAGTGCATAGCACGGCTATTACACTAGTTAAAATAAGGACAAATTACATATACCTCCTTCGAGGTTTAGCTAAATTACAGATACCTTTGAAGTTTCAGAAATTACAGATATCTTTGAAGTTTATATTTTCATAACAAATTGTCTCCCAAAATTTATATTTTCATAACAAATTGTCCCATAATTTGTTACAATTTATTATGAAAATATTAGCTTCAGAGAAATATTTGTAATTTCTCAAATCTCAGGATATTTATATGTAATTTGCCCTTAAAATAAACTAAACTCACATGCAACAACCCCATAATTCTCATCAATCCAGTGAAGTGTCCACACCACAGCCTTTGCATGGGCTATTACTTCGACAATCGTTACTCTGAAATGGTGTATAGAAAATTGAAGCCATGGTGGGTTGTTTAGCGGACGAATCAGGGTATTTGAAGAATGGAGATAGAGCTCGTTGCATTGTTGAGAGCAGCATGGGTCACGGCGACGCTGCCTATACTCGTCGCTTCCATTCCTTCTGTAAGATAAATTGATAGAGAGAAAAATACAGAGAGAATAAATTGTATGTATTCAATTGATTGATTATTTAGTGATTTACAACACTCTCATTTATAGAGAGAAAATGTGTTATACATAGGATACTAACTAACTAACACCGAAAGCAGAAACATTATCATTAGTGGGATAGCTGGATAGTTAGATATTGCACACTAATATTACACTAATAGCCCCCCTCAAACTCAAGGAGGATAGGTACTAACCAACTTGAGTTTGGAGAGAGTAACAAAACAGGAAAGTAAACTAATAAATAAAATAAAATAGGATAGGAGACACTGTATGGTCGTATCAAACCGTTATTGAAGACACGGTATGGTCGTGTCAAACAGTTGGAGAAGAAATTGTATGGTCGTGTCGGACCGTTGTAGCAGACAATGTCGGGACAGTTTACGGGGTCATGCCGGACCGATGTAGAAGCTAACCGGAATTAATGTCGGGACAGTTTACGGGGTCATGCCGAACCAATGTAGAGGCTAACCGAATCAATGTCAGGACAGTTTACGAGGTCATGCTGGACCGATATAAAAGCTAACCGGAATCAATGTCGGGACAGTTTATGGGGTCATGCCGGACCGATGTAGAAGCTAACCGGAATCAATGTCAGGACAGTTTACGGGGTCATGCCGGACCGTTGTAGAAAACTTTGGTGGTACATTAAGGGAGCGACTTAGAGAGTGCGCCATGGGGTGGCTTGGGTGGTTCGCATGGTGTATAACCATGCTCACCATGATATATGTATAATACCCCCTCTCAAACTCAAATAGGTTTGAAGATAGAAACCTATTGGAGGTTGAAACAAATGGATTAATAAAGTGGAGTAGAACGGCTCAATACAGAGTGGAGGTGTGGAAAAAAAATGGTAGAAAGGTTTTTTGTTTTTTTTTTTGTTTTTGTTTTTTGTGTGTGTGTAGAACAGTGAGCGGGGTGCCCTGATATGAAGAAAACAAGGGTGTTGCGCAAGCCGGATGGCAAGAATGACACAAGGTTGTTTGGAGCAGAAAAATTAGTGAGATGGTGTTGAATGTGGGTTGGTATTATAATAAACAAAATATGTATGTATATATAGAAAAGAAAAGAAAGTTGAAGAGAGTGTGAACATACTGATGATGAAAAGTAAAAACATAACATAAATTAAAAATTAAAGGGGGTAGTGGGGAACCGAGTGGTGTGTGGTTAGAGTGGTGGAAGAAGATACATGGCCAGCAGGATGATTAGGTTTTGGTGGGTGGGAAAAAAAGTAAAGTGAGATAGAGAAAATCTTTTTGCCGGATTGTGAGAGAGAGAGCTTCGATGCAAGTGTGAATGGTGTGGGTCTATGTCGTGCTGTCTGTATCGGTGTGTGAATGTATGGTGTATATCTGGGTGTGTTGTGTATGGTGTGTGGGTGTGTTGTTTAGCTCCAAAAAATGCTATCTTTCATCTCCCTTTGTATGGGTGTGGGCGTGTTGTATGGTGTGTTCTTTCAAACGGTCTGTTTCTCATTTTCAGCTATAATTCCAAGCTCGAGATCGATATCAACGGAGATCGGTGACGATGGTGGTGCTGTCTCCGACAACGATGCCGGGAGGTTGCCAATGATGCCGGAAGAGGGCGACAGAGCTCCGGCGTTAGATTCATGTTGCGATGGTGACGCGCAGTTGTTATCCACCGCCTACGGATGCGTCGGTGGTGCCTGCGGTTGCAGCAAAGGACCCACTGGTAGCCTTGAGGTAGTCGCTCGATGCCCTGGCTGCGGAGGAGCTCGACGGAGTCCGGTGCGTGGGGGTCACGCGCGACGTCGAAGTTACAGAAATTGAACTCCCAAATGAAGCCGCTCTCGCCGGAGCCGAGATGTGTGAGGTTTCCGATGGCGTCAGTGAGAGTGAGACCGAACTGGATGAGATTCAAAGCGTTGACGTTTGATTTCAAGAGCTTGTAGTGGTCCGACGGAAGGATTGATCTGGTATTGGAGACGCCATATTGATTGATTCACAGCCACCTGTTGGACCCAACATTTGTTTGCATGGCGAATGAGATGGGTTGGTTATCCACATCAAGATTCAGTATATCCAAATCCATAATAGTTGAACCCAAGAGACTTGTTGTGTTGGGTTGGTTACCGAGAAGAGAATCAAAATTAGCTATATGGAGAAGTTTTGTAGTTATCACTGTGAAGTGGAGAGAGAAAGTGTGAGAGAGGTCTTGCTGGAGTTGATGGAGGTCTCAAATTGGTTGAGGTCCGGCGGACGGTCAAGGCAAGGTTGCCGCCCGCCGAAAGGCGAAGAATATCAAGAGCTTAACCTATAGCTCTGATACCATGTAAGATAAATTGATAGAGAGAGAAATACAGAGAGAATAAATTGTATGTATTCAATTGATTGATTATTCAGTAATTTACAACACTCTCATTTATAGAAAGAAAAGGTGGTATACATAGGATACTAACTAACTAACACCGAAAGCAGAAACATTATCATTAGTGGGATAGCTGGATAGCTAGATATTGCACACTAATATTACACTAACACCTTCATCTTTGCTTAATTCGTTTCACGAATTTTTGTTAGGGTTTGCCAAGAGAGGGAAGATCATGCAATCATCCTCACAAGTAAGCGATTTTATCTCCATGTAAATATATATGTATGTACGTATGCAAGATTAATTTTTGTGTTTGAGTTTTGATACGGTAATACTCTGTGGTAATCAAATTTAGGTAACCATTTGATCTGTCGACAATCTGTTCGTGGGCTTATGCAAATTTTGAAAATGTTTTTGAGTTTGATTTGGGACTAATTAATGGAATTAGAGTTGGGTTTCTCTCAGTCGGTTGTTACCCTGTTGAAGATGGGATTTGGGAAGTCTGTTTGGTTTTTTCCATTGTTTATTACTTTTGCAGACTCTAAAAAGTTGTTTTTGTTAGTGATTTTTTTTTTATAAAAAAAAAAAATTGTTTACCTTTACTGTCCTCCTTGTGTCGTAGACGAATTTTGGATTTTTTTTTTTAAAAAATTCTTTAAAAAATAAAAAAAATCATTTTTTCCTATTATTTTGGAAATTTTTATTTTTTAATTTTTCAATTCGTCTTGTGCAGAAATTTAGAAATATAATTTTTTTTTGAATTTTTTTAAAAATTAAAAATTAAAAGGCAAATTTGTTTGATTGTAATTTTTTTTTTTTGGTGAGTGAAAAAGTTGATTTTTTTAGTTGCATTTTTAGCCCATGGTAAAGGAGGTTTTGAAGCTTCAGTAGATTGTTCCATTAAAACTTCTCATGATTGCATCAAATTTCACTGAAACTTCGTTCCATTGAATTGCTGAATTGTAGAAATTCACTGTACCTCAGAAATTCTTCTGTCATTTTTACACATTGGCTGTGGTTTGGACAACATTCTTGCTCGCTGCAACTTGGTTTTATGTGTATAAAATGGCACCGTTGGTGTCTGAGCCATTGCAATATTCTAGTAGTGAAAGTTCAAACACTGAGAGACACAGGGTATGGCGGTCTGTGTTTCTGCTTTTGTTGATGGGAGTTCAAGTTTTGAGGTGCCTTGTTGAGACAATAAATGTATTTAATTATAGTCCCTCAGCTCGGATGCACGTTTTTGGCAACCTTGCTGGCCTACTGTAAGTTTCATAACCTGAAAACTTTATTCAGAGGGAGATTTGTAATCTAGCTTTGGGCCGGAAGGAGGCGGACAGAAGATGGCCGAGCATGTTTGGGCCGAGCTAACTTGGGCCTGATCAGGGTGGGATTTGCTTGGTCGAGGCTCGCCCCTGTTTAGGCCGAGCTAATTGGGGCTTCCTTTGAGATGATCTTGCTCGGTCCAGGCCTAGGACTGAGGTCCAGGTCCCATGTTTGGACCGAGCTTCTCCGGATTTGGACTTGCTCGGCCGAGGCCTTTCCTCGAGGTCTACTTAGCCGAGATGAGCGTCTGCTACCGGGTTTTGTGGGAACACGATTAGCTCGATGGAAAAAGTCTTCTGAATGCCAGTGTAACCTGTCTGGAACTCGGTCCTACCGGAGTGCTACCGAGCGCGGCTGTTATGGAGCTCGGCGAGTGGAGCACTCGGGCACGTTACACAGCACGGTCGTGGAAGGTCGAGGTGATTCCGCCGGGTTGCCGAGTTCTCGCTAATGTAGCCTAACGGTTGGGTTAGGTGGTGATTGCTGGATTTGTGCTGACAGATGGGAGAGCAACACCACGTGTCAAGAGAGCAATGGGTGTAGAGTTGAGCGCAGAAAGTATATAAGCGTGACTGGGCCCCCATGCCGGACATAGAACATCATTTGGTGAGATAGACTTACATTCATTGAGTTTTTCTCTCTCTCTCTGAGTGTGTGCTAACTTGACCGTCGGAGGGGTTTCCGGCAACACACCGCCGGGTAGCTTACCGCCATTATGCTTTCAGGTTGATCGGTTAGACACGGAGCTTGGACGAAAAGAGTACGGACAGCGATGAATATTTGCTCCCCGTACAATTTATGATCTATAATTTTAATCTTTAATTTGATTGATACAATGTTTTCTCCTTGTTCTAATTGAGTTTATGCTTGACAGCATAGTGTGTTACTTCATGTCACAAACTATTTTGTCAAGGTCATGCTTATGCTGCTTTTCAAGGTTGAATTCTGTGGGTTCTTGGGTGGGTGGTATTACACTGATCCCTCATCATTCTGTGGGATCAGTAGGTTCCTTACTAGATTCTTTATTTCGATGCTCTTTGTTTGTTATCCATCAATACAGTTGTTTTTGTCATAGAGGAAGTATAAATCAAAATTAATTAACAATGATAACTTATATGGAGAACCAGTACAATTGCAAATGGAAACAAAACTTCTGACCTAGCCTTTTACTAGGGGATGCCACTGTTTTTACCATTTGACTCACAGTCTAGATTTGATTTGAAATTCTACTATGCACCTTCTTGCAGACACGTGAAGGTTCATGGATCAAAGAACAACACCATAATAAGCTTGTTTCTGACATTTAGATTTTATAGAATGAAGAGAATGCTATTTTCGTGATAGCAAATGATACCGTTGATGTGTAGGAAGATATTTTACTGATATTTGGCATCTTTCTGAGCTTAGTTTCTATACAGCAGCACTGTTGTCACTTTGCTGTACATTTGCACTGGAGACCTTTGTTTTTGCTTCGAACCGGGTGGTTGAGTTCATTGTTGAAGGAAAGAATCAGATCCCAGCCAAAGAATTTGATTGGCGGGGATTTGCCAGTCCTCTTATGATCCTTAGATGGTACTCGTGGATTGGAATGGCTATATTTTTATGGGGTTGGATACATCAGTGCCGTTGTCATGCAATTCTTGTAAGCTTCACATCTGTCATATTCTTTTGTTTGATTGAGATTTAAATCTCTTAGGTTTGGAATACTGTCTTTGGTCAATAAATTACAAAATTACTGTTGCTTAATAGGGGTGTACACGGTCCGGATTGGTTCGGTTCTGAGAAAATCCAAGAACCGGACCGATCCTAACGGTTCTGTGATTTTGAGAACCAGACCAGACCATTACACTTGTAAAACCGGATCAGAACCAAACCAAAAAAACGGTTCGGTTTCGGTTTGGTTCACGGTTCCAAAAATTTCTATTTACAAGAATAAATTGTTAATATTAGCAAAATAATTACTCAAACTAATTACATTTAACTCATGATAAAAACTAATAATATTAAGGCATTACTCAACATTAAATATCTATACCATCCTAATATCATTAAAATTATAAGAAACCAATTAATAAAAATAAAACTTGATATTATATATATATATCTCTTTTAAAATTCGGTTCGGTTCGGTTCGAACCGCGGTTTTTTCATAAAATCCATTAACCAAACCGTTTTTACGGTTCTCATATTTCTTAATCCAAAATCGAACCAATTCTTAATAGAATCGAACCAAACCGCAAGATTCATTCTAGTTCGGTCTGGATTACCGGTTTGAATGGATTTTTGAACAACCCTATTGCTCAATAACTTCTAATTCACTAAGTCTTTATTTGCTTGTTAGTTAATACTTAATATTACATAAATATGTTACCATCGCAAGAAGTTGGTGCCTACTGTCAAGAAAGTTGCTTGTAAATGGAGACCACTACAGTGCTTCACGTGCTTCTTTGTTGCATTAAAGAAAAATGCTGGAAATAATGCTGGAAATAATTTCAGTTTAATTTTTAAGGGATGAAACGGTTTTCTCATGAATTTATCTCACCCATAAGGAGTTGTATTTTACCTAAGGAGTTTGTAGTCAGAACTCAGCTTCTTCATATGTGCTGCACACACAATAAATCTTCTTGTGTCTTATTACACTACAATTTTCATCTGTCTCTCGTCATATATATTGCTTGATTTGAAATGTTGAAGGTCTCGGCATGCATGAATTATATTTGATGGAAGTCTAAAATTGATACATCATGTGCCATAATGGCAATCACACCTGAAATGTATGATAGAATAGAATTCATTTCCAATGTCAAATGGATGAGTCCATTATTATGGTCCATTGCAGCCATCTGTTTATATGGTTACATCGGGGGAGTAGGGAAAATGTGGCGACTAATGCTCCTTCTACATTTGGCAGGTGGCAAATCTTGTGCTTGCAGCTGCCGAAACACACAAATGGTATCTCCATAAATTTGATAATTCCCGGGGTTTGTAGTGGGCGCTCCTTGACCCGCGTAGATTGGAACCAGACAGAAAGAGAATATTTTCTTTGTTGTTGTAGAATTTAGCTAAAAAAATGGAAGTTATGATTTAATGAAACCTGCCAGTTATTATGAACTCAAATCAAAATGTTCGTATTCTGCAGCTGGCTAGTGATCCTGGCATAAGGTACTTCCCTTTTGATGGAGGCAATGATTTCTTCATAGCGCTCCTTTTCTTTGTAAAGAACCTCACCCTTGACAGGAGGGGAACTTGCCCGATAGCAGCTTCTTGAGTTGGGACCGTAAACTTGAAGTTCACATTCACGTTGTTGATTATGCCGTCCGACTCGCGATCATCCCTTTTGTTTTTTAGTGATTTAAGTACAGAGACTGGAAAATACCTCTGGTTAATGGAAATCAAATGATTCCAATTTCTTGTAATGTTAACGATAGAAAACTTGAGATGTTTGTACACAAATGTAGTTACAGCTACAGTTCCAATAGATTTTTTAGTTTAGTATTTTCAACTGACACAATCTCAATGTCTTTCTTCAAGATTATTGTTGAGATGATTCACACTTGCATTTTGGTCTTTTATGACTCTTTACTCTGTTTTTGTATCTTCTACAGCTTTGGGTTACAAATATCTGAATTTTTTTAATTAAAAAAAAAAAAAATTGAAGAGCAACATTTTTCAAGCAATGCCAGACCAACATAGAATAAATGCTCTGACATTACATAATTCAACACATGCTAGTGTTGGAGTTTAGTAGGTGCATTCCATGATACAGAATTATTGAAATTGATAATAGATTTCTAAAAAATGTAATGATCTTCTGGATTACACTCTTATTCTCAACATAATTAAGGATAATCTCTCAATAATTTTTGCTATGGATACAGTAAAAATTCACAGAATAGAAAGGTGTAGAGGCCACACCGACCCTTGTATATATTCTGCAATTTTGTTGGTGTCCCGTTCTGCATACTTTCTCATTTATATATGTCTATGCCCCAGGTTTTGGCAGGTCGATTGGCCCGGTGCTTCCTGTCGATGCTCTTAATCAGATCCATGTCCTCTTTGGCTAACTCAAAGTCGAATATCTGCATATTCTCCTCTAACCTCTCAATTCTTGATGTCATTGGGATAACTGCTGTGTTCCTTTGTATACCCCATCAGCGAATTATCTGTGCCACCGTCTTTTTATATTTCTCAGCCAAACCCTGACACCACATAAGCGAGAAAAAAATTATTCATGCTACATCATCATTAACATGTTACTTTATCATTCAATTACAAAATATCGGACACAGAGAGAGAGTTAGCCAAAGCACCGCCGAGGGGAGTGTGGGCAGTGACGCAGATGCCATGTTTTTGACAGAAGTTAACAAGAGATTCACACTGCAAGTATGGGTGTAACTCTATCTGGTTCACTGCTGGCTTCACTTTTGCATATGCCAAGCAATCTCTAGTTAGCAAAATCCCACAGTTGCTGCAGCATCCCAAAAATTATTATCTCATACATATATATAGATGAATACTTTTATAATCAGAGAAATTCAATTTAAAATAGGTCAAAAACAATGTGTCCCCTTTTCGTTAGAAATTATAGATGAATACTGAACATGATATTGCTATTTGACCCTCACGTTATAGCCTTTATTTTATTTGGTCCTTGACTAATTATAAAATGAAGACTTCTTGTTCTATTCTATGTAATGTTGACTTGTCTTGAATGACCCTTGTAATGAGATGCAACAACAAAAAATTTGAGATTATTGTAATGCAAAAGAGCAAAGTTGTTAATCATCGACTTGTCAGTGTACCGTTTTTGTTATTGGTAACGTTACATTTGCACGGGATGGTAGTAGACAAAATTACTAATATTACATGCAAGAGACCACTGTGATGAAGAGAAAGAAAATAAAAGCAAAATAACAACTGATTTAGACACAAGAATGTTACGTAAGTAGGACTCTTTTAAAACCGATACACTTCTAATTTTATAATTTATAATTAAAATCAGTTTGATACTATAAGAAAACTTTATTTTTGTAAAAATTGCAACACATTCAACATTAGTCAAGGTTTTGGGCAACAAGATTTTTTTTTTTTTGAACCACAAGAAAGAATGCTCTGAGATGTCATCACGGCATCCAAGGCCCAGGTTTGGTGTACCAATAGCCTGATTTAACCCAATTTATAGGAAGAGATTCACCACTGAGGCACCAACGGAGTTCAACCAGACGCCATAGACGAGCCCAGGAGTTGATCGGAATACAGAGCGAGGTCTCCGAAGTGAACCACTGGAGAACCCAGCTTTTCGCTCCCCCTAGGAGTCGAACTTGGGTCACGCCTGTAGAGAAGGATACCTTCTCCGCTAGGTCACCACCCCCGGTGGTGGGCAACAAGTTTTGAATTCACGTTTTCTTGAAAGAGTCAAGTTAAATCACTAATTATTTTCAAACCCTAAGCTATTAGAAAATGGGTTAAATAATATTAATATTTGTACGGAAAAGAAATAAACCTTCTCGTATAATCCTGTTGATCAAGTCCGCGTTCCTCTAAACGTTGTCGCTTTACTCCCTGAAAACACAAACGTGAACTAACCGGCGGGTGTGTGCCGGAAACCCCTCCGATGCCTAAGTCAGCAAAATAGACGAATAGACAAAAGCTTTGTGTATTCAGGAATCAAAGTTGTGTGTTACCTCTCCATAGGTGATGTTTGTGAGCTTTTATAGGTTCTGTGTGGCACAATCCAAGTAGGACTCTTACTCTTCCATGTAGAGTCTTCCTAGGATTCATACTCCTGAAAGATAATGCCTATCATTCAACACTCCCTCACTGTTTAAACCAAGTGAGATGGTTTTACCATGGTCGGATTCCAATGTGGCCGAGGTACGCATGGCTCCGCTTAGCCGTAGAACAGACCGAACTATATTTAGTTCGGTTCGTCCTTTTACTGCCCTTACCTCAGTTCCTCCTGTACAAACCGTGGTAGGCCTAAACCGAGCTAATTTTTAGCAAGGTTTAGACCGAACTAACCGTACTGCGCCATAACCGGTATAAGTTTTAGTATGGTGACCGAGCTAACCTCCTCGGGACCGGAGTAACTTTACACCTCTCTTGGGCCGGAGTAACTTCATGGCCTTTTTACTTAGCCCTTCGCACTGTGGCCCATAACGGCCCATTAGCCAGCTCGGCCCAATTTTTGTATAAATTACCCTCTCAATTGCCCCTTAATTCCATCTGCGCAGCATGAAAGGGATTACCTGTCCCCAGCCGAGCTAAAAAAGTTTCAGCCTTTTCAGCCGAACTAGACCCCTTTAGTCTTTCCAGCCGAGCTAAAACTCTTAAGCTCTCCAGCCGAACTAAATTCCATACCGGGCTCAGCTTGTCTAGTCAAAACGTCCCTTCAATCACAGCAACTAAATTGATTCTCATTTCAATGACACGTGGCACGCTCTGATTGGCTAAAGACAGTTGTCACGCCGCCCTCGTACCTCGAGTAATTTGAATAGTTCCCGCCTTTGTCCCTTTGTATCAAAACAAAAACTCTTTGAATTCACGTTTTCTTGAAAGAGTGTGATACCTTCTCCGCTAGGTCACCACCCCCGGTGGTGGGCAACAAGTTTTGAATTCACGGTTTCTTGAAAGAGTGGTGATTCCAAGTTAAATCACTAATTATTTTCAAACCCTAAGCTATTAGAAAATGGGTTAAATAATATTAATATTAAACTAACATCGTGTACATCATGAAAACACACTTCACAAAATATATGAAAGCATAAAATGCAATACAATTTCTTCTACATTGAGAATAAATTTAGTCTATATACTTTATTTTTTGACAACTTTTCAAATAATTTCATACATATGATGGAGTGAGAGTGCCAGCACAGTTGAAATGGCGGTAACCGAGCTTGATAGCATGGATGAGGACAATTTTTATGTCTTTGCTATCCATACGCCAGATGCCGAGTCCGATAATCAGCATCTTGTAGCCATTTTTGAGTGTGGCAGCCATTTTTGAGCACTCAAAAGTTTTGAGAACTTTGGTTGTGTTGTTTTGACAATGTTGGTCCTCTAATGTGGGAACTAGCATGTCCATATATAGCGCTATTGTGGCAAGAATTGATAATTAACTAGTTTGATTTGTTTTTCCAAATTTTTACAATATTTAATTTGTCAAATAAAAGGCTGGCCTCTTCTTATTTACCCTTTCTCATTCTTTCTATAACCACTCTCTTTGTGTTTTCTTCTCGCATATGAGGTCTGGTCTTGTCAAGTGTGGAAGTGATAAAGAGAGACGAGTCTCAAACACTTTCTCAAACATGTTGCCAGTCGCAAGGTTGAAATTAGACTATGGCGGTATGTTGGTTTGGGAGTACAAATAGTCCAGAGTAAATTATAAATATATTTTTTGAATTTTGGTTAAAATATAAATTATTTTTTATGATTTTGAAATTTTATTTCACCTTTGAGGTTTTAAATTTCATAATAAATCATTCATTTTATTAATAAATTATTAAGTCAATTAATAATTTAAATAATTTTATTATTATATAGAAGAGTAATTATAAATTTTATTTTTGTAATTAATTTTATGAAATAAAAAATTTTAATAAAAAATATTTATAATTTTTCAAATCACTGAAGACAATATGTAATTATAATTTAACTAACAGTCAAAAAGCCAATACAAACAAAAAAGGCAATAGTGGTTCACATGACCCTACCAGAGCTTAGAGATGGCAATCGAAACTTGATCCGACAGGGACCCGACCCCCCGACTTCGGATTGAGCGGTTATTTCCAGAAAATACCCCCGGCGGGGATGGTATTAAAAAATGAATCCTCGATGATATTCAGGCCGGGGATGGCGATATATTTCTAAGCCCTGGACCCGGCTGGAAAAGGTAGGTAAAATGTGCCTATATTTTACATAGTTTTACACAACTTTTCCATTTCCCTCTCAAAATCTCCTAACCAAACATAGCATTAATTTATCTGGATGTGTTTGTGTGGTGTATATTAAATTGATGAAGGTGATGAGTAAAATGAATTTAAACCACTTTATTTGGGTAATTTCTGTCTGGGTTTGTAGTGTTGTTGATGTATATTATTTCATACTGCACTAAAATCTTGTCTTATAAGTTTGATGAACCATTCTTTCTTCATTGAACAATATATTGTGTTTGTTCTTTTCTATGCACCCAATTTTGATTTCATGTTTTTATTTTATGTTCTTGAAATTGATCTCTTGTTTACTTTACTCTTATCAGTTTTTTCT